TTACAGCTGCAGTTTTATTACAAAGGTAAACTTATGCCATGGGGGTTTGTTGTACAGATTATTTCATCACCCAGGTATTAAGCCTAGTACCCATTACTTGTGTTTCCTGATCCTCTCCCTCCTCTAACCCTCCACCCTCTGACAGGCCCCAGTGTGTGTTGTTCCCCTGTATGTGTCTATGTGTTCTCAAAATTTAGCTCTCACTTACAAGTAGGAACATGTGGTATTTAGTTTTCTGTTCCTGTGTTAGTTTGCTAAGGATAATGGCCTCCAGCTCCATCCAAATCCTTGCAAAGACCATAACTGCATTCCTTTTTATGGCTACTTAGTATTCTGTGGTGTACATGTACCACATTTTCTTTATCCAGTCTATCACTGACGGGCATTTAGATTGATTCCATGTCTTTGCTATTGTGAACAGTGCTGCAATGAACATACACATTCATGTGACTTTATAATAGAATGATTTACATTCCTTTGCGTATATAGCCAGTAATGGGATTACTGAGTTGAATAGTATTTCTGTCTTTAGGTCTTTGAAGAATCACCACGCTGTCTTCCACAATGGTTGAACTAATTTACACTCCCACCAGCAGTGTATAAGATTTCCTTTTTCTCCACAACCTTGCTAGCATCTGTTATTTTCGACTTTTTAATAGTAGCCATTCTGATTGGTGTTAGGTGGTATCTCCTTCTGATTTGCATTTCTCTAATTACTGGTAACGTTGATTTTTTTTTCATGTGAGTATTGGCCACATGTATGTCTTCTTTTGAAAAGTGTCTATTCATGTCCTTTGCCTACTTTTTTACGGGGTTGTTTTCTTGTAAATTTCTTTAAGTTATTTACAGATGCTGGATATTAGACTTACAGCCAAGTCACAGACATTTGCCACTCACAACTGCCACACACAAAAAAGATGAAAATACTTAGGAATACAGCTAAGTAGAGAGGTGAAAGATTTCTACAAGGAGAACTACAAACCACTGCTCAAAGAAATCAGAGATGACACAAACATTCAATGCTCATGGATAGGAGGAATCAATTGATAAAATGGCCATATTGCCCAAAGCAATTTATAGATTCAATGCTATTCCCATTAAACTATCATTAACATTCTTCACAGAACTAGAAAAAATGATTCTAAAATTCATATGGAACCAAAAAAAGAGCCTGATTGGCCAAGGCAATCCGAAGCAAAAAGAACAAAGCTAGGGGCATCACACTATCCTACTTCAAACTATACTACAGTGCTCCAGTAACCAAAACAGCATGGTACTGGTTAAAAAACAAAAACAAAAACAAAAAAAAAAACAGAAACAAAAAACAAAAACAAAACAGACACATAGACCAATGGGACAAAATAGAGAACTCATTCATAAAACCACACACTTACAACTATCTGAACTTCAACAAACCTGATAAAAACAAGAAAAGCAACAAGGCAAGGATTTCCTATTCAATAAATGGTGCTGGGAGAACTGGCTAGCCATAGGCAGAAGACTGAAACTGGACCCCTACCTTACACCACATACAAAAATTAACTCGAGATGGATTAAAGATTTAAAAGTAGGTCAGGTGCGGTAGCTCAGACCTGTAATCCCAGCACTTTGGGAGGCTGAGGCGGGAAGATCACGAGGTCAGGGAGATCGAGATCATTCTGGCCAACATGGTGAAACCCCGTCTCTACTAAAAATACAAAGATTAGCTGGATGTGGTGGTGCACACCTGTAGTCCCAGCTACTCTGGAGGCTGAGGCAGAAAAATTGCTTGAACCCGGGAGGCGGAGGTTACAGTGAGTGGAGATATGGCACTGCACTCCAGCCTGGTGAAAGAGCGAGACTCCTACACACACAAAAAAGACTTAAATGTAAAACCCCAAACCATAAATACCATTCAGGATATAGGCATGGGCAAATTTTCATGAAGACATTGAAAGCAATTGCAACAAAAGCAAAAATTGAGATATAATTAATTTAAAGGGGTTCTGCACAAAAAAAGAAACTGTTAACAGAATGCACAGACAACCTACAGAATGGGAGAAAATTTTACTAACTATGCATCTGGAAAAAGACTAACATAAAATTTTTCTACCCAAAGTACTAATATCAGAGACTTTTTAAAATCAGCTCTTTCATTAATCCAACTCATTCTCTCTCTCTCCCTTTCTCTTCCTTTCTCTTTCCTAATAGTTTAAAATTACTTTTTATTAAAAAAATTTTGAAATGTTGCATCATAATGATGAGTGCTTACAAAGTGAGAGGTGCTATACTAAATCCTCTATGTACATTATCTCATTTAATCCTCACAAAAATCTTATGACATAGGTATTGCTTTCTCTCCTATATTGTAGTGGTTGAACAGCTTGCTCTGTGAGTGGCAAAACTGAGCTTAGAACTCAGTCAATCTGAAATCCAGAGCCTGCATGCCCCATCAATAAATTACATTGCCCCCTCTTTAAATTACATATACAGAGGCAGCATTTCCAATTAAGTCATAACTAACTTCTTACATGGGTTTATTATGATACAAAAGCTATTTTAATTTTTCAGGATTTTGGAAACCAGATAGTTTGTCACTAAATGGTAGTTTGTTTTTGTTTTGTTTTCCCATATTTTTTCAAATAATAAAATAAGAATCGAGAGTCACTTTAAATAATCTAACACTGAAATGGGAAGAAAAAATATGCAGGAAGTAATAAGAGAACAGCTTTGCAAATGTTAACTCTTTGCAGGAAGAAACTGTGACCAATATGTTCAATGCAATATCTTTAAATACAACACTTGGCTCATAGAAAATGTGAGTTAAATAAAACATGTAAACATGATTCTTGATTTCTTGATTTTGAAAATTGGGACATTTTCTTCTATGCTTTAGATTCTAAGTTTTAGCTGCTTGAAGAATAAAGTAAACAACAAATATCTCTGGTTCCTTTCATGCTTTATTCAAATTCTTCATGTTTGGGAATCTGAAGTGTTTAACTCTCTTTAGAATTTCTTTCAGATCAATTAGATATAAAATGTCAGGTGTGTGCATTAATTATAAAGCTAAAAATTTACTTATTCATTACACTAGTGAGAGTCATAAAATGGCACGTTCTTTATATGAAATCACAGCAAGCTACAATAAAGACATATTAATCATACCTTACCACCTCTTCCCATGACTGAGATCAGTGTATTATTTGGGCATTATTGGTTTCAAATAAAAGTAAAAATTTAAACATATGAGAAATATTTATGTATTTTGCCATTTGAAAAAAAGATATAGTTGAGAAGTAAGACTATATTCCATTTACGCTCTACTCTTATACTAGGTCTCAATAGAGTAAGAACAGCAGATGAGAACATAGGGTATATTTACTTTTATTAGGACTTTAATGTGCAAGTTATTGTTCTAAAAGAATGAGAAATGAACTGACCACCAGATCATCTCATAACAATTCCTCTAAGTAAAAGGAAAAAAAAATACAGAAACAGAAACGGAGATTGTGAACTCTGAGGAATAAACCTTGACATTTTACTTTCCTGTGTAATGTACTTAAATGCAAAATATTGCTTCCATTAAAATGCATAAAAATCAATTTCAGAGTATGAAGTGTAAATGTTGCAGCAGATTCATTCTGCTAATCTTTCAGATGATTCTTTACTCAGGGTGATATTTGCCTTTATGTATAATTGAATTTTATAACTCCTCAGCAGAGAAAATGAGTTATTTCCTTATTGGAGGATTTTAATCTAAATGACTATAAATCAGAAATAGTTTTAAAAGAAACATTGTAAAATAGTAAAAAAAAAAAAAAAAAAAAAAAAAAAAACAAAAAACTAACATTTTACTTCTAAAGGTCATACACTATAAAGTTGAAAATGTATTTTCCCTGATAATAGATATTAGTCTTGTTTGCTAATATTATATCTAACATATCACTAAGTAAATATATATAGTAGCAAAATAAGAGCATGAAAAAAATTTAGAAGGCAAATTATAAAGATAAAAATGAATAAGAATAAAGTATTTGAAATTGAAATAATATTCTGGTTAGGGACAATCTCTCATGAGAAATAATTTCAAATTTGAAAAAGAGATGTAAAGACAAAACAAAGGGCCAAGAGTGGTGGCTCACGCCTGTAATCCCAGTACTTTGGGAGGCCAAAGCAGGCGGATGACAAGGTCAGGAGATTGAGACCATCCTGACTAACTCAGTGAAACCCTGTCTCTACTAAAAATATAAAAAAATTAGCCAGGCATGGTGGCACGCACCTGTAGTCCTAGCTACCCAGGAGACTGAGGCAGGAGAAATGCTTGTAACCAGGAGGCAGAGCTTTCAGTGAGCCAAGATAGCGCCACTGCACTCCAGCCTGGGCGACAGGGTGAGACTCCATCTCGAAAAAAAACAACAACAAAAAAAGACAAAACGAAATTATAATGTAAATTAAAACACTTTAAATTATTCCATATAAAAACATTTTTAAATATTCAAAATAATTAGAAAATAAAACACTGTGAAAAGTATAAAACACTTCACTCTTACAACACAATTTAATCTCACAACACTTGAGACTATGAATGACCAACTACCAGTAAAATAAAAAGAGAAAAGAGAAAAGGTAAATCTTGTTTTCATATAAAATCTCCATTTTAGTTGAGATATTTACCATATTGCTTATTAGGCTGCAAAATGCGACAAAACTGAATGTCGAATGGGAATTTTCCCATAGCCTAACAATTTTAATAAAAGTCCAAGTTGAATTTAATTATTTCTAGAAATCTAAACTCCTAATTCCCAAAGTTTAACAACTGGGGCCGTCTAACTTAAGGACTATTTTACTGGGATTTGCCAGTTTCAATGGCCCCAGGCAACACAGTAAATTGAGCAACGAGAGAAAATGGCCTTTGGAGTAATGTGAAGTGAGGATTGGTCAAAAGAATCCCTCGTAAATTTGGGCTTGCCTAAAATGTACCCTTCATTTATTAAATCAAATCTATTCTCTCTTCTAAACAGTCAGTGAGGCATTGGATCCACAGATACTTTATTGTTGCCCAGGCATGAAAGCAATGACCAACAGAGAGATGGAGGTGCTAAGATAAGGAACTCTGGTAAGTAACTTGTTCTCCTATTTGACGAAGCAAGGATATGAAGTACTCTTAGACATCATGGATGCAAATAATGCTGCTGTGCTCAAGGTGGCCTGCTAATACTCATTCAGGCAGAAAACAAAAGGTATGCTAGGATCAGCCTTTGTTGGATTTTAATGAAGAATAAAGTGATTAAATAAGTGGATTTGAATCTTGACCAGCTTCTTCAGTGACACAAGAAGTGGAAACCTCTCAGGTAATTCTCAAAAGAAAGTACATGGAGACCATTCAGAAGTACAGGTATTAGGAGCCCAATCACGCAGAGGACATCTGGAGTAAGTGTCAGCCTGAGAAGAAACAACAACCAAGGAAAAAAGACGGCAATCTGATTGAGTCAAGTAAGAAGATATTTACCCGCTCTTGTCACATCACAGATGGAGCTGGCATCTAGAAGTGGGAGTGAAAAGAGATGTCGTGAAGCCCACCCACAACCTAGTACTCTTAAAGCCATAAGAGCTGTCATCACAGATGGGAAATGTAGAAAAACCTTTGAGTATAATTTGAGATTGGCATTTTAAAATGAATAATGAAATAAACTAATAGCTCAAGTAACTGAAAGGTTATAGCATCTGTCCAAGAAATAGTCAAGGAAGATGCTACTTAGCGAGAAAAAGGGGAGAAGTTTCATTTTAATATAGCTGGGGAGATTACTGGAAAAAAATATGATAACCTATTTAAATAATGACATGTTGTAACTCCCCAGAACACCAATTGCTATATACAGTGGTATACTTAATATAAGAATATTGTGTTCTGTTTTTTAGGATAACACCATGGATCATAAAGCTCAGGTGTCTACCTTTGAGAAATGACACATTCAGAAATAGTTATGCCCATAAACCAGTATTAGAAGAAAACATTTATTCAACAAATGTTTTCTCAATGCTTTATCATATGTGCCAAGCACAATTCTGGTTGTATATAGTAATTTCAGTGATGAGTGAACAGGGTCAGGCATGCCTGTAGAGTTACAATACACTGTGATTAAACAATAGTTGAGGGAGAACTCTCTGAGGAAATGATATTAGAAATAACACCTGAGTAATGAAAAGGCATTTACTATGTGATGATATTAGAAATAACACCTGAGTAATGAAAAGGCATTGACTATGTGATGAGCGGGAAGGGATAAGGCAAGGTAATACAGACTAAACTGTGTCCCCAAAATGCACGGGTTGAAACTCTAACCCCCAGTGTGATATATTTCAAGATAGGGCTTTTATAAAGGTTATTAACATTGAAAACCGTTATAAGGCTCAGGCCTGAAACCAACAGGATTGTTGTCCTGATGAGAAGAAGAGACATGACAAGTGCACAAGCACAAAGGAAGAACCATGTGATGAAACAGCAAGAATGTGGCCTTCTGCAAGTAAGGAAGAGCATCCTCACCAGAAACTAACCCTGCCATAACCCTGATCTTCGACTTCCCACCTCCAGAAATGTGAAAAAGTAAATTTGTGGCATTCTGCTAGGGCAGCCCTAGAAGACTCATACGGAAGGGGAGATACTTAAGACAGAGGAAGCAACAAATGCAAAGACCCTAAAGGAAGAAATTTCGAGAGTTCTAAACAATGAGTGATGTGAGTAACAGTGTAGTCACAGGAAGTGAGGCCAATGTTGGAGATGAAGGTGTAGCGGTAGGCAAAGGCTAGACCCTGGAAGGAGAAGAGGTCATCCTGAGCCACGACCCTGAGTTTGGATATTAGTTTAAAGATAAAATGAAGCAAAAGAAAAAGAAATGACCAGCTGCTCCTTGGAAAATGAATAATTAGGGCACAAATGTGGACTTGTTAGGCTATACAGTCCAAGTTTGGCCTATGAAATTAATAGTGATCAAGCGGACGGAACAGATTTTCAGTATATTTAAACTTGTTGATGAATTATGAGAAAGTAGTGTCACTTACCTGTTTGGCCACTCTGGCTGCAAGTCTTTTCATTCTAAGAGTAATATAGGAGCCACAATATTTAGATATCTATGCTGAATGTTTTTAATAAGTAGTAATTTATTAAAATGAAGAAAACACTTCATCAACAATGATTTAACCCATTTATGCCAGATGTTGCCTTTTTTTAAAAATTAAACCCTAGCAATGACTTTGAGCAGTAGGATATAAATAACTCCCACAAGCTTAGCATTCCAATAATGGATCACTAGGCATAATAAATGGGTTAAGAACAGACTCTTAAGGGGAATATATGAAAATTATACAAAAACAATTTAAAAAAATAAACCTAAAGGTGGGTCTATATTTTGAGATCTCCTTCAGCAAGTAAATTTTTATCCAAATGGCTAGGAGAAGTTATTGTACTGGACCAGCAGGAATCTCTTCCTATGAAACTTTTTTTGATTAACTCACAGAGACTGTGCTCTAGTCTGGATAATAGCATTTATCACATCATGACCCCTATTGCTGACCATAAAACTACAATTCTTAGTGTTCTATTATTGTTAGCATTGCTATAGCTCTGTCTCTCCATCTTGCATTTTCTTGACTCTTCATCTATGCTCCAACAGACTTAGGTAATCTGCAGGTCCATTTCAGTATTTTGTAAAATGGACTGCCCTAGAAATACTATTTTTCTTACTTGTCCAGAGCTACATGACATGTTATCCTATTATTTCGCTACAGTGACCTGATCTATGAAATTTCTGCATGCATTATTCATCTTATTGTCAGTGAATCAACATAATTTTCATCTCTATCATTTATTCTGGGGATTCGCTGAGGTCATCTAATCTAGCCTGCACATGGCAGGAAACTGCTTCGGTCTGTGGATCTTGGCTGGCTTCGATATTCACTGCAGTTGGGGCTCAGTCTGCACCAGAAAACACTAGGAAAGCCTCGTGGTATTGATAGAGGTATAACAGAGCAAGCAAAAACAAGCTAGGCATAGGCTTGAGGCATAGGCTCAGAACTGGCAGACTGCAACTTAGACTCATGTTCCATTGGCCCAAACAAACCTTATTGCTAAGGTCAAAGTCAAGGAATCCGGAAAAGCACTTGTGCTTTAGTGGAAAGAACTTCAAAATTATATGGGAAAAAGCATGAATACAAGGAGAAATGAAAAACTGGGACCAATGATTCAAATGATGACACCTATATACAAATATCACATACTAAACATAATAGATGCAAACTTACAAAGAAAAGCAAAAATATAATAATTATGCATATGGTTTTATATATACATAACACATACATATATACTATGTGTATATACATGTTCTCTAGTTTATTGAAAAGCTGATAAATTAAATCTGTTCTATCAGGACATCTGGCCACAGGGGTATACCAGAGAATAAATATATATGTACTGATGAAACAACTAAAAAAGGAGAAAAACATATAATCCCCAAGAGAAAGGAATAAAATGAAGTCAACCTCAATATGGCTCCAACGTATGCCTAAAGAAAGTGTCCAGGGTACAACACAGTGAGGGGGAAGCAAGGTAGAGACAGACAGTCTTTTTGTGTTGAGAAAACATAGCTGGAGTCACAGCTCCAGCTGTGAACTGAAAGAGTTCACAGGAGATAGATTACTAGAGAGGAAAGTGATGGCAAAAGAAAAAAGCTGAATTTGTAGAGGGCCTCCTCAAATACTTGACCAAGTGATGATTAGCACATATATGTGAGAAAATTACCCAAGGCCACAGAAAGAAGCACCCAGAAGATTAGAAAAGTCTTGAATCAACACTAAGAAAAATGATCGGAGCATGAGTAAACTCTGAAAGAACATAAAGCAGTAAAAATGCATGTAAATAAAGACCCCAAAATAAATGGGAGACAGAAAAAGATAGACAAGAAATTCAGAATTCTATCAGGTAAATTTAGCAAGTAGATTGAAGTAATTTAAAAGAATTAAGCAGAAATTTTGGAGCTGAAAAATGTGATGGACATATGAAGAATGCATCAGAGTCTTTCAGTAGCAGACTTGATCAAGCAGAAGAAGGATCAGTGAGCTTGAAGGTAGGCTATTTGAAAATACACAGAGGAGACAAACAAAGAATAAAAAACAGTAAAGCATGCCTACAGGATCTAGAAAATAGCCTCAGAAGAATAAATCTAAGAGTTATTTGCCTTAAAGACGAGGTAGAGAAAAAGACAGGCATACGAGATATACCTAATGTAATTGACGAGTTAGTGGGTGCAGCACACCAACACGACACATGTATACATATGTAACAAACCTGCACGTTGTGCACATGTACCCTAGAACTTAAAGTATAATAATAAAAAGAAAGATTATTCAAAGGGATAACAACAAAGAACATCCGCAACCTAGAAAAATATGTCCATATCCAAATACAATAAGGTTACAGAACACCAAGCAGATTTAACCCAAAGACGACTACCTAAAGGCATTTAATAACTGAACTCCCAAAGATCAAGGACAAAGGATCCTAAAGGCAGCAAGAGAAAAGAAACAACATACAATAGAGCCCAATACATCTAGCAGCATGAGCATTCCCTTCACTAACCTAAATGCTGTCTGAGTAGGTCACCTGCCCCATAAGTCCACTGGCTGTGAGTTCAGTTCAGCCCTAGATTCACCTAGAAGTTTCAGTCATTGGGGCCTAGACTGCCTTTCCCATTTATTTAGGGCCCCCAAGCACTTTAGCATGTGGTGGTGAGACTTGCCAGAACTCAATTTTTTGACTGACGGGATGGACAATTCCCTTCTGGCTGAGGCTGATTTAAATACTCCTTCTGAGGGTTGACATCAGCTGTGTTCAGCCTGGTTTTGCTTTTGGCTACTACAAAGGACTACTGAGGTCAGTGCAATGTCTCACAGTTGCTGCACTGTCCCTCTCCCAGGCACAGAGATTCTCACTCTGAACCACACAGCCACTTCCAGGGAATGGAAGTGGAGTGCCATCAGTAAATCAAGACTAAATCCTACTTTCTTCCAGTGCCTCTTTCAGTGATATGAAATTAAGTCTAGGTACTGTGAATGCTCACCTGATTTTTGGTACTTATGAAGGTGCTTATTTTCGGTAGACAGTAGTCAAATTGGTGACTTGTGGTGGTGGGATGATTGGAGATGGATGTTGGGCCATCTTGCTCTGCCCCTCCATAAATGTTCTTAACAAATTTATTTGTAACAGCCACAAACAAGATACTACCAAAATTTCCATCAGCAAATGAATGGATAAAACAACTAGTAGTATATCCAAACAATGTTCTACTACTCAGCATTAAAAGTAATGAACTACTGATACATCCAGTTACATGAATAATTGGCAAAATAATCACATTGAATTAAAGAACAGGCAAAAGAGTGGATACTGTAGATGCCTCTGACAATTCTAGAAAATGTTCACCAACATAAAGAGACAAGTGTATAGAGCCATAGTTAATGGCTGTAGTAAAGGAAAGGAGAGAGGAATTACATAGGTGCATAACAAGAAATTTGGGAGTGATAGATATGCTTATTGTCTTCATTGTGACAATGGGTTCATGGCTCTAGACATACGTTAAAACTCACCAAGTTGCACACTTTAAAGTACAGTTTATTTTATGCCATTATATTTAATAGAGCTATTATAAATAAGTCACATCTTGTCTCTTGATTTTAACTGAATTGTACGCATTTTATTTTAAAGTAAATAAATACTTTATAGTGTAAAAAACTGTTTCTTGTTAGAACTTTTATACTTAATTTACTTTGTCTCTGAAATTGGAACATTCACATTATTATAGTTAAATCTAACAGAGTGGGGGGGGGAATTTAAAGTGGAGATTCTGTTGAAAATTTTGAAATTCAGAGAAAAAGCTTTGAATCATTGCGAAAATCCAGATCTTTTTCATTCAAAATCAGAAGTGTTGATTTTATTGTTGGAAGATACATTAATTGTTTAAAGTCATTACCAGAAGCTTGTAGAATTTAACTTCTACATAAATATCTAAATATACAAAGTTTCAAACAAAAAACGTAGCCAACACCTACAGCAAGCTGCTTTAGTAAGACACATATCTTTAATGTTTCATTTGCCACTTTGGGATTTTCTTTTTATATTTTAAGATTAATGAAGCTGTTGGGGTTTTTTTGTTTGTTTGTTTTTTGTTTTTTCAGGAAGAATGAACAATGGAAGAGGTTAGCCAAATAGTGCAAGTAAACAAGGAAAGACAATAAACAAACAGCCTAAGCAATTCTGAAATGGAATGTAAAAGCACTGATTTTCCTTAAATGTTTTCTCGTAATTAAAAAAAGTCACTACCCAGAGATCGTCAGCTATTAGTGAAGTTTTTGTGTCTAATTTTTAAATAAATTATCTGTTTCTGTGAGCCCAGTGAACTTGATAATGGTCTCAGAGGCTGGGAGCCTTGCCAAGTATGTGGGGAACTGCGTCTTCTGGATGAGGAATCATGCTCTCCAGCACTGGCCTCACCAGGAATGTCCACTCCTCTCCCGATCCCCTTCCATTCTGTTGTATTTGTATTTTAATGTGTCCCTTTTGATTATCATTGTGAGCTCATGGCCTTTCCCAAACATAATTTATTTTAATTAATTATGTATATATATTCTTTTTAACACTAAAATTGGAGATGGGAGTAGTTTTAATGGGTTTTTTCCCTAACAGCACTTATTCTTTTATTCTAAAAGCATATTTAGTTTGACATTGAAAAGACAGTCTGGATACAGCCTCATAATTTTCCTGTATTAAGAAATGAAACTGGCTGTAGCCCAAACACTCCTGGATCTTTCTGGAAAAGAAAACACACACACATATGTTTCTGGGGTAAAGTTCCCCTACTGCTTACAGGCCCTACTTAATGACAGAGCTGGACAAAATCATTTTAAGTTGTTACCTTATACTGATTTTACCAATTGAACATCTATTTTCCTTGCTTTTTCTTTCAGTATAAGGTTTCATAAACTAGTAAGATTTTCTTCTACAATACTTTATTGTATAATGTTACTTCTTTTTCCACACAGGCCTTTACTCCTAACTTCAATGTACAATTTTCTATGACAAGGGAGTTAAATTTGATCAAGAGGAGACAATGATTTTGGTGATTATTTTCTTCTGCAATGATAAAACTTGTGTCAATAATTTTCATTTTAATCTACTTGTCTGTGGAGCATTCATTAAATATACTAAAGGAACCATTTCAATTAGAATTAACACTTTTATCTAGCTTACATATATATAGAAGACAAACCTTGGTATGCTAATCTTCTGGGAAAAGAGGCTGTCACAGCAAAATTAAGACTTTTTTCATAAAATACCACTACTCCATGGCCATCAGACATCAAATAAATAAACATGCATTGTTATGTTAAGGAAAATTATCTCAAAAAAGAATTTCTGATCCTTTAGGAATTCTTAAATACTTTGATCATCATCCCTTTGAAGTAATATTCATTTAAAGAAACATTCCACGTGCAATGCTGAATTCTTCAATGTTTCATTAGTAGGTACAGAATTATTACATGATATATTTTGCATTCACAGGCAGATCATTAAATTCTGCAAGCATTGCTAATTTATGTTTCAACATCACAGTCCTTTCCTAAGAATGTCAAGTATACATATACAGAAAGAACTTTAATGGAAGAAGAGATGTATTAAGCAATAATTTTCTCCATTTCCTCCAAACAAGTTTTGCATATTTATACCATAACAGAAAGGGAAAAGGGAAGGGGAAGAGGAAGGGGAAGGGGGAAGGGGGAAGGGGAAGGGGAAAGAAAAGTGGAGGGGAGAGGAGGGAAGGGAAGGGAAGGGAAGGGAAGGGAAGGGAAAGGAAGGGAGAAGGAAGGATGGAGGGAGGGAAGGGAGGAGGTGAAGGGAGGGAATGAAGTAGGTGAAGGGAGAGAGGAAAGAAAAAGGGAGAAATGAAGGAAGGGAGAGAGGGAGAGAGGTAGGGAGGAAGGGAGGGAGAGAGGGAAGGAGGGAGGAAGGAAGGAAATGAAGGGAAGAGAAGGGAAGGGAAGGAGGGAGGGAGGGAGGGAAGGAGGGAGGGAGGAAGGAAGAAAAGGAAAGGAGGGAGTGAGGGAGGAGAGGAGAGGAGGGAGGAAGGGAGGGAGAGAGGGATGAATGAAGGAATGAAGGAGCTCTTCTGCTTGGAGAACAAGACCCCATTTGAATAGTGAAGAGCATGAAGTAGACTGATACTCCTCAAGAAGCAGATAATAATGCCCACAGTAAAATTCTGAAAAATCATTTAAATACATAATGGTAAATAATTTTTCCAAATTCTTACTTTTGATGAACTAGAATTAATGTGTTGAATATCTATCTTTTTATCTCTCTATCTGTTTATCTTAAAAGACAAGGGGTATAAAATGGGAAAATATAGTGACATTTTACAGGAAAGTTTAATCAAGTATATTGTATAAGAAAGTTCAAATATAAATAAACATAATGATAAAATATTAACCATTCAGCATAAATTAAGTTCTTTAAAGGGCAAAAATAAGACAGATTGGGTGGTGGAGAGGACAGAGAGAGAGAGAAGTACAAAAATAAGGTAATACAATAATGATGAGTTTGTAGGAGGCATTACTGAAGACCCATGCCAAAAACAAAAACATAAAACTCCTATGCATAAACATGCTTCATAATTTGAATATAACTATTATTTTGGTTGAAAACAAAGGTTCTTATCTATACCTTAAGCAGGTAAGATACATTCCTTATTTTAGAAATATCTTCATTAAAAGACTCTTATTCAAGATTATCAATTTTGGGAAAATTTCAAAGAACACCCATTTTAAACATATTTCATAACAAGCTAAGTATACAAAGTATATATATACTTATGGCCTCCATGTGAGTGTACATCCCTTCATATAAGCAACAGCACAATTATAAATAATACTGTGTTCCAAGGACTTGTGTATTGTTTGACAGAGACTGTAATAGTTAATGGCAATTCATGGTTTCGCAGGATGTAGTGGGTACGCAGTAAATATTATACCTCCATAACACCTTAACAAACAGATATCTAGGATTGCTAAAAGTACCATATAATATAGATGTAGTGAGAAAAAATGAGAACCTACTGGAAATTTAGTCTATGGTTCACAGAAAATCCTTTTTTATCATTTCTAAGTAAAATATAATTTAAATTTTATTTATAATTTGATGCTGTGTATACTTTTATACAAAGAATATAAACCACTAACTCACACTTTTTTCAACAAATGCATTTATATAAGACCTCAAACTACAACAATTCTAGAAGAAAACCTAAACAAATACCATTCTGAATACTGGGCTTGAGAAAGAATTTATGACTAAGTCCTCAAAAGCAATTGCAACAAAAACAAAAATTGACAAGTGAGGCATAATTAAACTAAAGAGCTTCTAGACAGCAAAAAGAAATTATCAATAGGGCAAACACACAACCTACAGAATGGGAGAGTATATTTGCAAACTAGGTATCTGAAAAAGGTCTAATATTCAGAATCTGTAAAGAACTAAAACAATTCAACAAGTATAAATAAATAAAGTGGGCAAATATACTAACAGATACTTCTCAAAAGACATATAAGTAGCCAACAAACATATGAAAAATGTTCCACATCACTAATCATGAGAGACATGCAAATCAAAACAATAACGAGATACCATTTGAAATCAGTCAGAAGGGCTATTATTAAAAAGGCAAAAAACAACAGTCCAGTGGTGGCTCATGCCTGTAATCCCAGTATTTGAGAGGCCGACGGGGGCAGATTGCTTAAGCCCAGGAGTTTGAGACAAGCCTGGGCAACACGACAAAACCCAGTTTCTTTAAAAAAAAAAGTGTGTGTGTGTGTGTGTGTGTATATATATATAAATTATATATATATTTTAGTTATATATAACTAAAATATATATATAATTTATATATATATATATATATATTACATAATTAGTTGGGCAGGTGGCACACACTTGTAGTTCCAGTTACCATGGAGGCTGAGATGAGAGGCTCATCTGAGCCCAGAGTCGGGATGTCAAGGCTACTGGGAGCTGTGATCATGCCACTGCACTCCAGCCTGGGTGACAGAATGAGACCCTGTCTCCAAAAAAAAAAAAACAAAAAAAAACAGATGCTGGGTGAGGCTGCAGAGAAAAGGGGAAACTTATATACTGTTGCGGGAATGTAAATTGGTTCAGCCACTGTGGAAAGCAGTTTGTAGGTTTCTCAAAGAACTTAAAACTACCATTTGATCCAACAATCCCATTACTGGGTAATTTTTTTTTAAAATCAATCACTCTACCAAAAAGACATACACTTGTAAGTTCATCACAGCATTATTCACAGTATCAAACACATTGAATCAACCTAGATGCCCACCAACTGTGTAGCAGATAAAGAAGATATGGTATATATGTATCATGGAATACTATGCAGCCACAAAAAAGAGAAAGAAATAATGTTCTTTGCTGCAACACAGAGAAGTCAGCAAGCCATTATCCCAAATAAATTAATGCAGAAACAGAAAACCATACTTATAAGTATGTCCTCACTTGTAAGTGGGAGTTCAATCTTAGGTACTCATGTATATAAAGATGGCAACAATAGACACTGAAGACTACTGGAGGAAGGAGTGGGGTTGGGGATAAGGGTTGAAAAACTAACTATTGAGTACTATGCTCACTACCTGGGTGATGGGATCATTTATATCACAAACCTTAGTTTCACATAATATACCCATGAAACGAACCTGTACATGTATCCCTTAAATCTAAAATAAAAGTTGAAAAAGAAATAGAAGTTAAACAAATCACAAATACATTTTTAGTGTCTGTCATCGTAATTAATCAAAATGCAAAATGAGAGAATTAACTAGTATTAAAGAGTCCTTGAGAAATGTCTCCTAATGTAACCAGTATAGCCAGTTTGCTAGCTTCCTCTAAAGATAATCCCTCCCTTGTTTGTTTCTTGATACCCATATATCTAACTACCTGTTTGCTTGAAATGTCCAAAGGCTAATCTTACAACAATCCAGACATGAGGTAGAGATAGCAGTTTCAATTTTCTCCCTTTCAAGATGAAACAGTTGTGCAGTTAATCCCTAACCTGACCCCTACTGAGATGATGCCAACCAGGCCTCTGGATAGTCTGTTACTTAAACTAGCCAGTGGAAAACAAGAAGCAGACCTGCACCATGTACACTCCTGTACAGTTTCCATGCAACCTTCCCCCTGAAAATCCCCTTATGCAGTCTGAGAATTTAAGACGGCTTTTTGAGGCTTGAGTCTGGCCGTCTCCCAAGATGTCAACGCTTGAATAAAGCTGCTTTCTTCCACGAAACCTTACTTCTTATGTGTTTGTCTTTTGAGGTG